TCAGGTACTCTTTAAAACAGCTGCTAGGTATGGGTACTTTTTACTTAAGTACATTTCAAATCCCATACTTCTTTACTTTTACTTGAGTAAAGAGTCCTCCCTCTTTCTTTATCACTCACATAAAAAGCTGCTTCTTTAAATGTGTCTGCCTGAGCTGCTGAGTACGCTAGACCCAGGAGACCGTGTTGTTTATAGCAATCCAACTTATCCTATATGATGTTTCCGAATTAAAAGAAAGTCTCTGGTGTTTTATCATAAATTGAATTGAAAAACCCTTCACTGGCTTCCAGTAACTGCTAGAATCCACTTCAAGACACTGGTGCTTGCGTACCATGCTGTGAATGGTTCTGGCCCTTCCTACATCCAGGACATGGTTAAACCATACACCCCAGCATGTGCACTCCGCTCTGCATCAGCCAAACGGCTCGCTGCACCCGCACTGCGAGGGGGACCCAAGTTCCCATCAGCAAAAACATGTCGGTTTGCTATCCTGGCTCCAAAATGGTGGAATGAGCTCCCCATTGACATCAGGACAGCAGAAAGCTTACATATCTTCCGGCGCAGACTGAAAACTCATCTCTTTCGACTCCACTTCGAGCAATAAAATGAAAAAACAAAACAAAAAAATGAAAAACAAAATGAAAAGCACTTAGATACTAACTAAGCACTTACATACTAACAGAGCACTTATATACTAACAAAGGACTGGCTTATCTAAAGCTAGTTGAGTAGCACTTGAAATGTTTTGGCTCTATGAAACCTAATGTACTTATATGATTCTGTTTTCTTCAAGTTTGTATCTTCTTGGTCGAATGCACTTATTGTAAGTCACTTTGGATAAAAGCGTCAGCTAAATGCAATGTAATGTAATGTGTGTGTGTGTGTGTGTGCAGAGTCCTGAGGGTTCGGGTACAGACATCTCTGAGTATCGCTTGGAGTGGGCGAGGGAAGAGGATCCCATGGAGCTCATCTACTGTGGAGCCGCCACTCAGTGTGAGCTGTCCGACTTGACGCCTGCCACAGACTTCTGCTGCAGGCTACAGGTAAAACACAGACAAATATACATTTAAAACATACTTGTGCTTATTAAATAATAATGATAACGATTTTTTTATATAACACTTTTCATACAACACATGCAGCTCAAAGTGCTTTACAAAATGACACATCACATTTAAAAAAGACATTCCCCTCAGATTATTTGTTGTAACTTTACAGGTACAATACATGCACCAATATATAACATGTTATCAGGTTAATAGACACAAGGAGGTAAAACGTATGATAATACAAATAAAAGAAAGAATGGTTTCTCTCTGACACATAAGACACAAGAGTCGATGCAACAATATAAAATATAAAACCCTATAAAACAAACATATAGGTACAACAGAAATACAAATAAAAAGATAATAGTAATAAAAAGGCCGTAATTCTAATAAAGGTTAAACGATTAAGAAAAAAAAGACCAACGTAAAATGAAATATTGCTATTGAAGCATGTTAGATTCATAAAATAAGATAAAATAACATCCTTTAAGACCTATAAAATAAAACAATATAACAAAATACCCACTTATTCACACACAGATACTGCATCCGTGCACAGGCACACAGAGAAGTTATCTTAGGAAGTACTAATAAGTAGCACTATATAGGACATAAACACAGATGTGAATTCAAATATCCTCCTTGAAAGATGCATGATTTTGTACACAATCTCTCATGTAAATCAAATATTATTATACTTTTTTTGATACTTATTTGTTGTCCTTTATCTAAGCATTTCAATCAAAGACATACAAAAAATACAACCCATGTCAATATAAACAGCTGGTGAAACAATACAAATTAAAATTTACATAGATTCCTGTAGTTAAAGGTAGGGTAGGTAAGAATGGAGAAACCAGCTCGAGTGCGCTAGAATTTGAAAATACGCAGCCACCTTCCTTCAGACTTCCTTACAGAGCCCCTCCTCCAACACACACGAACGCGCACATGACCAATGAGGGCACGAGATAAGTTTGTGCACAGATGGAAGGCTGACAGGCAGGTAGGCCATCCAGTTATTTTAGCCGGGCCGGCTCAGATGATTGGTCGTGCTTTTTACAGCGCCACAGCTTCCACAGATGACATTTTTTTATGGATTTTTTGTCAAAGCACTTAATGTATTCATTGCTATCGGGATGTTAAGAGCATTCCATGGAATATAACAAAAAGTGTTTCTGAAGTGAATTACCTACCCCACCTTTAATGTATAAAGGTATTCTGTAAACTTAATTTCTTCGCATCTATATTAACATTTTAGATGTGAGGATAAATGCTTTGAGAGCTTTTGGTTTAGGTACCGTGAAAGTGCTTGAATCTTTACTGGAAAAACTGTACTGACCTGAAACACGTGAACAGTTTCAAGCATCACAGAACATTAAGTAAGAACACGAGTGCAGACACTTGCATACAAATTACAACCAAGGGAGAACCTAAAAGCAGGAAACAAACACAGACGGAGTCCAGTGAAAGGTTAATGATAATTGATTTTACCTTCTGACTCTTAATCTAGTGCATAAATAAGTGCTCTTGTTTTCTTTGTATTCTTATCACACACACACACACACACACACACACACACACACACACACACACACACACACACACACTGAGTTTCCCCTCCTCTGAAGCTATGAATGTAATAACAGCCTGGTTTATCGCTCACTTCGACATGGGCTCACTTATGGTCTAAAAGGTCACCCAAATGTGCGTTTATATAAAAAAATTGGGCATACCGCATGTGACTCTTAAGAGATTTGCACAAACAGACCACATTATAGCCATCGACTTATTTGAACTCTGTTTGACTCTCTTATGTCCTCTACCTGAATGATTTAATGGCGCAGGTTCACGTACTGTAGCATTGGAAAATCTGTATAGCTTGATGTACACATTTTGTAATGAAAAAAAACGTTAAAAAAATCCAATCACATAAATAAATCTAAAATGTAAACCCTGCCAAAAACATATTTGACAAGTGAAGATAAATCAGAAATATGACTTTTTATTGTCTGACCATCAAAGGAGAGAGTTAACTGCCAAGAAAATGTAATAAGTCAAGTCTTATAGTACATGTTGAAGCCTTCTCATCCTTGATGTTCACTCACATGAATGTATTTTTGGAGAGTGGCTTCAGTACATTTTCATACTAAAAAATAATTGTTCCTCATGTTCTTCGATTGTATTGCATTTTTTATTTCTTACCTATCCAACAAATCCATCGCTCCTGACAGACAGCCAGTTTTGTCCTGGTTGTTACACGGAACAGGCATGCAGCTTTTACATTCTATATTTTAAAAGGGTTTGTATGATTGGGTTTGGGTTCCTGAGGCAAGTAGACTATTATATAGCAAAAGCAATTGAAGGACATTTGACAGAGGCTGCTGAATATTAATGTATTTTACATGGCAAGTATGAGTAACTTACTAAACATGCTTTCACGTCTAATTTGAATTTATATCCCTCTCTTTGTCTGTTTCACCTTTGACTAATTTCTCTTTTCAACCTACTCCGTGTTGGATGTTGCCTCTTCTTTGTAACCTTCTCTTCATCTCTTTTCTGTCCTCCAATCCCTCCACCCCGTTCATCTCTCACCCTCTCTGCGTTTTTGTCTCCTTCTCAGGCGGTGAATCAGGCCGGAGCCGGTCCTTACAGCGAGCAGGTGAGTTTCCGGACCCCGGCAACCAATCCCGACCCGGTCCCCTCCCTCGTCCTCCTGGACCTCCCCACCCCCTTGGAGTCGGGCCATTCCCCGTCTACCTGCCTCCACCTGAAGTGGGACGAGCCAAACAGCAACGGGGCGGAGATCAGCTCCTACGTCATCACCCTGGACGACCAAACCATCGCTGTGGAGTCAGGGACAAGTCACCTGGTCACAGACCTGCAGCCGGACAGCGAGTACAGGTACTGGCATACAATGGTTACAACAGGGCGGACGTGAAAACAGAGGTTTAATCGGATACAAAGTGCAATTTATAAAAGGCGATGGTCAACAAATCATGGGTTGACATTCTGACTTACAAGAGCTGCAGATAAAACCCAGATATACTACCGTTGACATTAATAGGTGGGCAGATGTCCATAAACATCAGATGTCAGAGCATTTGTTCCTTCCTAAAAAAGTCGCTTGGATAAGCTTAACCTGCTAATTATTTGTGTTATCTAACTTACAAACATTACTACAGTACGTCTTGTCCTGGACCTGGAATTTTAAGGCTCAGGTAGTCTAGTAGTATTTAGTGGCTATATGGATAGCCTGTATGATGTTTGGGGACACAAATGTCAGATGGTGGTAAGGGAAGATCCTCTGCACCAGCTGCTCTGCTGCAGAGGATCCAAATTATAATCATCGACTGTGCGAGATTTTTTTTTACAAAAATAAAAAACGGGGAAAAAAAGTTAAAAAAAATTGTAAACTCGAGCGACAGTAAACAACTACTTAGTATTCTGAATCCCCAGCTAAGGCTGTCATGCCTTCATAGGCCATTCTGTCTCTGTGTCTGTGTCTGTGTGTGTGTGTGTGTGTGTGTGTGTGTGTGTGTGTGTGTGTGTGTGTGTGTGTGTGTGTGTGTGTGTGTGTGTGTGTGTGTGTGTGTGTGTGTGTGTGTGTGTGTGTGTGTGTGTGTGTGTGTGTGTGTGTGTGTGTGTGTGTGTGTGTGTGTGTGTGTGTGTGTGTGTGTGTGTGTGTGTGTGTGTGTGTGTGTGTGTGTGTGTGTGTGTGTGTGTGTGTGCACGCACGCACATGTGTAGTGAGTTCTTTGAATTGAGGAGAGAGGGGGGGGTCCTCGTAGGCTGGTGATGAGGTCACACCGTTGTTTTCATACTGAGGTTGTTTTTTCCCAATGTCCCCCTGCTCACCAGCATAATGGCTGCCTCAGATACAGAACACTGTGTGTGTGCATGAGTCTACCTGTGAGTGTTTTTGTGTGCAACAATAACAATGACGGTAATTGGGGTAGTTTGTTCACAGCAATAGAGTACTTCAAATAATATTTTCCTATTTCAGTGATGCGAATAACTTCGGGAAGGACCGCAGTGGCTGTTGTTTGCTCTGTGGGGCTTTGTGTGCTTTAGTGCAAGTTTACATTTATTTTTGTTGATAAATAATGTTAACTCCAGGTGACTCTCCCCCTTATTTCTCTTCACTAATAGCTTTTTCGAAATACAAGGTTTACAGACATCATTACTCTTCTCTGCTCAGTACCGTCTCAGTATATTAATAATGTTAAAAGGTTTTTAAGAAGCCTTAAAAAAGACGCACCCGTAAACCGACCAAATATGAAATTTCGAATAAGTATTCAATGCAGCGTTGTCATTAAATTATACACTTTGTTTCCCTCTTGCAAAATAAATGTCGCATTTACTTTTTAGTCAGTTAGCGAGCCGTCATTAACTTGGATATACAATGAGTGGCTAAGGAGGTTCAGGGTGCAAAATAAATGGACCAGGGTGCAAAATAAATGGACCTTTTGCTTATTTCCCCATAGTTCTTTTCATGTCATTAGAACAGGAAACAAAAACATGTCCTCTGAACTTTGATATGTAAATCCCTTACATAGCTAAATGTAATCCCTTATCATGAAACACTAAGATCCTTTATCCGTCACCCTTTTCCTTCTTCTCCATCTTTCATCTATGTGCTTGATGATCTAGCAGATGGATGAACGTCTCATCACTCCTCTCTCTGCGGCATGAATTATAATGAAAGGTTACAGTTACATAGAATCGGCGATTGAATGTCAGACGATGGATGCTCGCTAGCCTCTGATAGGGATGCTAATCAGGTGTTCAGACATTGAGAGAAAAAAGGAGGGGGATTCCTAGAAGAAAGGCAGGGAAAAAAACGAAATCAATTCCTGCAAGTGCTTTTTTAATTAGCAGTAGATCTGTGTGTCCTTGTTTGTGTTTGTGGGGATGTTTGTATTTTAGAGGAAGGTGTACAATTTAAAATGCATGCATTCTCAGAATTGTCTTTTTAATCACATTGCACAGAAACCACTGTAGCATGTCTTATTAATCTGAAATAGTCCTGGATTGGATTTCTGGTTTTGACAAAGGGGAAGAAATAGCTTCCCATCCTTTGGAAAACCTTTTCTTTTGAAACACAGTTCGGCAGTGATTGCTTTTTTTCCCATGAATACCACTATATTGTTGATGAAGGAAACAAGTAGGTCAACCAGTGCAGAGATACTGAAGTCTCATCCTGGAGAGAACATTGAATTATAATGGGGGAAAGGTAATGGGCAAAGGGATCACAGACGTATCTAAGGTCAAAGCTGACATGCGAGATCCGCCTCTTCACTGGAAATTGTTCCACCATTAGAAAAATAGGTCTGCAAACACACTCACAGGTTATATAGTATACACATTAACTGTGTGTGTACATGTTTGTCCTGCTTATGAACATAATATCTGCAACTCAACATGAAAACAAGACATTTTTTCAAAGTTTCAAGTAGTATCCGATTGATACCGCAAATGTATAGATAGATAGATAGATAGATAGATAGATAGATAGATAGGTATTTGGGAAATGTTTGCATTGCAGCAGCATAAAAAACACAAGGCAATGTACATAAGAGAAATTAAGACACAGAAATAAACAGTCCAATATATTTCAGAATTTGAAATTGAAATAAAATAGCGTTAAAAGTAAAAATATATATATATTATAATCATTTTTTAAAAATATATATATATATATACATGTGGAAAATATACATGTGGAAATACAAATCTCCAGTAACAAATATAATGCAGGATATAATTGTGCAAGAATGGATTATTCAATCAAATAGAATATGAATGTAAAATGTCCAGTATATTTTAATTCTGTAATAATCACTCTGTGTCTCTCTCTCCTTCAGTGTACATATCCAGGCGGTGAATGCCATTGGCTCCAGTCCTTTGAGTCCAACCCTGCTGGTGAGGACACGCCCCCTCCCTCCAGCTCCGCCCCCTCTTGAGTGCTCAGCCTCTGGCCCTCAGAGCCTGAAGCTGAAGTGGGGCGAGAACGCCAGCAACACACACACCCGCGCCCTGCTCGCCAACGACATGCTCTACACACTACAGATGGAGGACAAGAACCACAGGTGGAGTGAACACACTGATCTATACCACTCTTACCTAATTGTTTACCTCAAGACAGAAAGAAAGATAAAACGTCAAAAAAAGAGGTGTCGGTATATAACGATATTGCTGATACTGACCAGTTAATGTCACACATATGATAATAATGTGAATCATCAAGCGCCTCTTGTACTTTTTCTGTCTTTTTCTCGTTTTGTCCTTCCCTACATTTCAAGAATCTTGAAGTAGAAATCCAATCTACATTTCACAATATCCGTTCACACCTCATCACATTTGCCTCGAAGTCATTTACAGCGGCTCCTGCCTACACCCTCAGCTCTACTGAATTGTAAGTGTTGGGGAATATGTCCTCCTTCGCCCTCTGACGCAGCTGACCAACCTTGAGCAGCCGTTATCTCCCATAAGGAGAGGATGCCCTAGCAAGTTGTTGATGTTACCAGTTTATGACCGGGCAACTCTCAGTCAGAGATAGTTATTGTTGTGGGACACCTGGAACACATCCTTCTCGGGGTGTAGATGACCTCGAGCCATAAGCGACAACAGATTCAGTGTCCCTCAGCTGTTTAGTCTATCTATTGAAGAATGTTGATTATTCTCTCTGAACTATCTAAATACATGGGTCTGGGGTAGAGTTCTTCAGAATTGATTGTGGCATTTCAACCGTGTGGTCAACTCGTGGCCAGTGACATGTCTTGTGAATTCTCCGGCCGAAGCTCCAACTAAACCATCAGTGTTTGACATCAAAGCTCCAGCTCTCCTCGTGTGTCCTTTTGAGTCGGTGACTCCCCTGCGTTGCTCCAGAAGTTTCCCCCACAGTAAGTCTTTACGAGAATAAAACGGCTGCAAAGTGAAGCGCCTTTTTCACACTGCTTGCGCGTCAGTGTGTGGTAAAATCCACAAGATGAAGCTATCCCCATGAGAACATGCTGTACTATTATTAGTGTTGAGACGGTTGAAATCAATATCACTTTTTTTCTTAGGTTTGTAAGAGTTTTTTGTCTAAAGAGGCGCTCGGCAACAATACACACACTTCTGTAGAGACCAGAGAATATTAGTTTCACATATGGATCCTTATCTACGTCTCGGATATTGAAACTGTGTGAGGTTGTGTTTTCTAAACCGTCCGCAACCCATTTCTCAGTCTCTTCAACCCACTGCCAGTCAATACAGCAAAGCAGGACCCAGAAGGTCAATACACACACAAGAAGGGCAGAACATGAGCACCTTGAGAGAAAACGATGGACCTTGTCTGCATGGAAGTGTGTGTAGGTGTTATATGTGTGTGCGTTTCTGTTCCTCTGTCTCTTTATATATGCAGTAACCAGATGTACCAGGGAGTAGGCACGTCCATGGCTTCTGCAGCCAGCCTCCAACAATCAAGGCTCTATTTAACTGACTGGTCAGACCGGTGTGACAAAGAGAGAAACAGGGAGACAGAATTATCAGACGGAGGAGGAGGGAAGGGGAACATGATGGCTGACAGAGTGCAAAACATAATTGGAAGAGGGCCAGTCTTTTATAACATCCAAGAAGAAATGACTTAAAAGGTCCCCTATTATACTGTTTTTCATCAATATATTACAGGTCTCAGATATATACAAAGCATGGCTCTGAAGTGTTTGGCTCCAAACACCAATCAGATCATTGCAGCATCCCATAATCCCCTCTGTTTCAGCCCTGTTTCCAAAGTGCTGATTCTCTGTCTGTTACTTTAGATGAAAATAAGGAGCCCCTCCCCACGCCCCTCTGATACCTCATTCACACCAACGCAACTCCGGTTCAAGCTCCGTGCTAGAGCTTTTCAGGTTCAGAACCGGTTCTTCGGTTTAGCTCCGGCTCTTTTCACACCGCCCAGAGTCCGACTGGTGCTGCGTCATCGTTTGCGTCATGACGTAACCGTTTGCGTGCCTGCTTCATAAAGCCAAACCGCGCGGAAACCCCTCACAGCTCACACCGACAACAACAACAACAATGGCCGATTGTGCTCCAGCTTCCTCTGTACCTCTTCGGAAGACCAGATTCCCAGTAGGTAGCTGGTCTCTTCAGTGGACCACTGCTGCTTGTTACGTTTCTCCATCGTTGTGTACAAACTGGATAAAACGCGGGCTTTTTGTTGTTGTTCAGGAGTTGATCCCGCCCCTGCCCCCGCCTCGACGTAAGCGTGACGTATGCGGTGCTTTTGCTCTAGCCGGACAATTTTTTGGTGCTTGAAACGAACCGGATTCCGGAGCTAAGAGGCGGCTCCGCTGCGGTGTGAACAAGAAAACCCGGTGCTTTTCAAGCTCCAGCTCCGAACCGGCCCTGAAACACCATTGGTGTGAATGAGGTATATATTTGGTTAAAAAGAACACAATGGTGCTCTTGGAGGAGATTCAGGTGATAAGGTGGGGGGGGGGGGTTACCTTGGTTGCTGATTGGCTAATGGTTACAGAAGCCAAAAAATCGTTATGACATCATAAAGTAGCCAAAATCTGATCAGCTCATTTTCAGACAGGTTTTTATATAAATGGATCAGGACAAAAAGAAAGAATCTTTTTTCCTGAGACTTTCAGAATTCTTTCCACAGAGGGGACACATGGTTATGTATACAAGACATGAACAAGTGGATTTTGCATAACAGGTGACCTTTAAAGGAGCCAAGAAGAGGGTAGCAGAAACAACAGAAAGCAGAGCTACTTATATTTCCCTGCTTGTCTGCCCCCCTGTCAGATTACCCCCTCCCACCGTCCAGCGCTCCTCCATTCTGGTTGGCCGGCTATCAGGGTTTGAATTAAGGCTTGGCTGGCATCGGGTTGGCACCCATGTACCTTGGCACCTCTGTAATGATCCAGAGTGCAGCGGGCAACAGATGGGACCGATCCGGCAGGCTGCGATCTGTTAACCTCTCACACACACACACACACACACACACACGCACACGCACACGCACACAAACACACTCCTGCCGGCCAACTGAGAACAGCTGTGACCGTTCAGAGAGTTTTATTCAGTCTTTCCTAATTGGCACAGTGATTAGTATGACGGTATTCTGGTGCGTGTGTTTCTATTTCCTGTGTTTGAGCATATGTCGGCATCCACCATATTTGGATTCAATGATACTTTGAGAAATATCTTGGCATTTGCTTTACATTGAAGTAAAACAATTGCTTTCTTGATTTTACTAAATCTGTCCTTTAGATTATATGATTGTTATAGTACATGATATGTTTGATAAAACCAATCCTGGGTAAAACACACAATGATAAATTCAAGTTCAAATGAATTCCAGTTTTGAATGCCACTCTTGTGAAAAGAACAGCCTGTTATTCATTCTGCTTATGAATTAATTACGTGCTCACGACTCTATTGAAATAGAAAAGCATAAAAAGTTTAATAATAATTTTCTGTACTTTATCAAATCAAATCAAATCAAGTTTTATTTATATAGCACATTTATAAACGATTTTTGGTCGAGCCAAAGTGCTGTACAAATAATAAAAATACCCTACAGTAAAGACATTATACAGCTAATACAACAGCACAGTTTGTTCAGAATATCAGTATGAGAAAACGACACCCTCTGTCCTTAGACCCTCACATCGTACAAGGAAAAACTTCCGGAGAAAAACCCACATTTCAAAGGGAAAAATGGGAGAAACCTCAGGGAGAGCAACAGAGGAGGGATCCCTCTCCCAGGACGGACAGACGTGCAGTAGATGCCGTGTGTAAATCGAAGAGATAATACGTTTTACAGCGTAGGTAGGTAGACCGAATGTTAGGAAATGCATGTGTCTATAATAAGAAGATGAATCCACGAGGATGTCAAGAACAATCCTGTGGGAGCCATCAGGGAAGCAGCATGACGAGACCCAGGCAGGACCGCAGAGACAGACCCAGCCACGACCCGAAGTCATTAGAGTTCCCTCTAATAAAACCTCGAGAGGTTAGAGAGGGAAAAGGTTTTGGATAAAGAGAGGACAGAAAGAATAGATTACAGGAGTAGAGAGTATGAGAAGTAGAAAGAGACAAGATTTAGAAGAATGAGCAGTAGTAATAACCTTATTTTTCAATATACGATCCAAGTTTTTAGGATTTAAGTGAAAGAGCAAGGACCAAAAATGTAGGTGAAGATGCACAGCGTATCTACGTCAATGCAGTCTTATTAGATTATTATATCAGCTATAAGCTTTATCAAAAAGGAAGGTCATAAGCGTACCAATAAAACGGATAGGCTATCGGCCGCCCGAACACAAACCGGAAGCCGAATTCCACAAAAGTGGAGCTTGATAAGAGAAGGCTAGAAGGCCAGAGAGAAGAAATGAGTTTTAAGTGTCGATTTAAAAAACCCTAGGGTCTGGGCCGACCTCACATGGAGGGGCAGAGTGTTCCAGAGCCTGGGGCCCGCTGCTACGAATGCTCGGTGCCCTCGGGTTTTAAGCCTGGTCTTAGGCACTATCAACAGCAGCTGGTCAGCAGACCTTAAAGCTCTGGCTGGGGTATACACTTGAATAGTTTTACATGTTCTGGATTAAAACGTTTGGTACAGAAAACCCTGAGATGATAATCAAAAAAACACTCAAGTTTTCTGTTCCACAGTAGCTGTTATTCAGTCCAGGGATAATAGGCATAAATTGCTTTTGCCATTTTACTATATTTATTTTGTGCGATTCCACACGTGTCCCTCCTTGGACTCTGATAATACACTTTTACCATCGAGAATTAAAGCTCAATTTTCTTTCAGCAGGGACAGGATTTTCTATATCTCTCTTTGCTCTTTACAAAATACAACTTTTAAGTCGTTTCTCACAAGCCACTGCCTTCAGAGTCCATCCTCTTTTTGATCAAGTCAGTTGTTGATTGTTATATTTCTAGCTAGAAAATGCTAATTATTTAAAACAGGAGAGGTAAAATCCAATCCAACAAGATAAGTTTGATTTTAAGTGTTTTAGTTAGACCCACACAAACAATGGCAGCATCTCCACACAGCCCAGGAACACCAATACACACTCCCTTCTCTTCATTACCACAATGTCCTCCATGAGAAAACTCTCCATAAAGTATAAGTGGCTGAATTGCCTCATAAGGACCATGCTTGATTCCTGACTGATTCTACCTAATTGCTTTCACGTATGATTCATCAGTTCCAGCTTCTGGTGGCTGTGACGCGGTGTTTAGGTGTATTAGGGGCTGCATTAATGTGTTTTATTTTTTTATTTGTGTGTGTGTTTGCAGAGGGTTATCAACATATGAATGGTTTGAGCCGGTTTACAGGTCTCTTCTTCCGATGCGCCTCCTCTTCCTCCTTTGCTTTCTCAAACCACTCTATTAAAGTGAACTAGCAGGAAGTTTTCTTGTTGATGAATCCACCATGGCAACAACATGCCTCATAGCTAATAATAATGCATCGAGGGAGATACGGAAGGTAGAGAAATTATAACATCTTGGATCGCTTCGTAAACAAACATATTGAATAACTCGATGCAATTTCTCCAAATGCAATTGTAGATTTTGCCAATAAATTACATCAATGCCATTTTTTAACCAAATAGCATTAGTGTCCATTTATGTTATTGACATTCACCGACCTTGTCTCATTCCCTCTCCCTCTTTGTCTACGGGAGATTCATTTATTATTCATTTTGTTTCATCGGAGGAAAGGTGACTCCACCATGGAGGACATCTGGAGATATATGCGACCCCTGTCATACATTTTATATTTCCCACCTCAGATTTGACCCTCTCGGTTTGATGATACAAACAGCACTTTTCTCAGGCTCCCTATAATGAATCCCTTTCTTAGCTGCCCTTGCTCCTCGTGCTTCCTCTCACAGCTTATTTTGTCCGCTCTTATCAGTCTGTATGCAGACTTGTTGCTCGTGTTCTGTTCTCCCTCGCTCATGGCTTTTACATTTTCAATCGTTTACCTCACTCCATTGTTGCCCTTCTGGCCTTGGGATTGGGGATGTAAGGGCACCATGGCAACACAGGCAGTGCAATGCAAACGCTTTCTGACAATGTCTTCAAAATAAGGATGAATGCGTGTTAACGACGTGTTTTAGGGGCAAAGCTGAAGGCAGTTGCTGTCATCCTTAGGACATTTGAATCCATATATGCACTACTGTCTGTCTGTCTGTCCACCCTTTGTCTATCTTCTGTCCTTGAGCCCTATATCTTCCTATGTGTCACTCAACCGGCTAATTTCTTTATTGCTGCCTTAATGTTTCTCATTTCTCCAGCCCTTAATCCTTATATTTAGTCATGTCTTTCTTTCTGTGCACCAATCTGTTATTCCACACAAGCATTCATTCAGCTACTCTATAAAGAAAGGTATTAATTGCTATAATAAATAATTGCTTTTATTCAAACTGACTTTTATATAATTTCTGTGCAAATGTAATGATGATTTAAACACATTTATTCTAGTCAAATATGCAATTGATGTAACTAAGGTTAGATTATCAATGTCATGTGGATAAAGTTAATCGTTAAGCTTCATGCATTGCTAAGAGCTTAGTGGAAGTGGAATGATTTATCATTTTAATATTTCCCAAAAATGACAGGTAAGTGGTTGACCAATCACTACAGAGCCGGCCAGCTAACCAATCAGAGCAGACTTTCAGACTTTCTGACGGTTTCAAAAGAGGTGCTGCAGCACAGGCAGTATGTACAAGAGCTTTTTGAACATTAAAGGTGGGGTAGGTAAGTTTGAGAAACCGGCTCGAGATACACTTTTTGTTATATTCCATGGAATGCTCTTAACATCCCGATAGCAATGAATATCTTAAGTGCTTTGACAAAAAATCCATACAAAAATGTCATCTGTGGAAGCCGTAGTACTGTAAAAAGCACGACCAATCATTTTAGCCGGCCCGGCTAAAATGACTGGATGGCCTACCTGCCTGTCAGCCTTCCATCTGTGCACAAACTTATCTCGTGCCCTCATTGGTCATGTGCGCGTTTGTGTGTGTTGGAGGAGGGGCTCTGTAAGGAAGTAGCAGATTTCTTCCGGCTGTGTATTTTCAAATTCTAGCGCACTCGAGCCGGTTTCTCCAAAATTACCTACCCCACCTTTAAAGCATGTCACAGTAGAGACACAAAATACAAATATAAACCTGGAAATGAGCTTAATATTATGTCCTCTTAAAACAAGACAAGCATCCAAGTATCAGAAAAATGGGGACTCAAAAAATACAAATCTATTTTATGATATTAGTGCAAAATTCTAATATAAGAAAGCGACATTGTGAACAATAACAGCTCCTTGTCTGCTTCCGACCTCTCTGTCCTGCTCCGGTCGTGTTGACTGTTGGGCTCTTTGGCTCTGGTCCGAGGATGCGGTTCATCTCGTTAACTGTGGCCTGGTGATTCTGTGTCTGTGTTTAATGTCCGTGCTCTGCTGAGTGTTAATTTGTTTTGATGATGGTAACTTATCATGATGAAAAAGTTGATGTATTTACTATGTGGGCGGTCATTTTTTGGCCATGTGATTGAGACTGAGGGTGAAAAAAGGGCGGCTCGGGCACAGTATTTACAATGCAACTAATTCTCCCCGCGCTGGGTGTTAACTATAGGGCAGTGAGGCAAAGTATTAATAACATCATATATCAGAAACGCACCACTTCACTGTACAGCACATAAAGAGCTCATCTGGAGTTATAGCCGACTACTAAACCATGACCTCTCTCATGGCTCCTTTCTCCCTTTCTCTTCTCTTTCCTTTAAGAGAAAACTGCCTCCATGCTTTGTTTTTTATTTCCTTTTTACCCTTTTTTTACAATCTCCTTTCATCACTGATTCCTATCTTCTCTTTTTTCGCTCCCAAAAACTCTTCCTCACTCAGACTCCTGAGTGATAGTGAAGATAAGTAACCCCCCTTTTCAATTCAAATCCCCATTTCTCCCTGACTTGCTCAATTGCTCACTTATCATCTCTCCTTCAGTCCATCAATCTGTCCATTCATCCGACCAAAAACTATTTTTCGTGCTCGATTTTATTTAGATTTGAGACCATGGCCTGCCAGTATTCCCCCTCTTTGCTTATAAATCACTGCTGTCTTTTTTTGAATGCACACTCCTCCATTCCCATCAGCATCCTTGTTTCTTTTCAAGGTCTCAACTCCCTATTTCTCACAACAACATAGTGTGTTATGCCAAACCTGTACTGACAGAGTTAAAGCCATTTTTCAGGGGTACAAATATTCCTTGGTGATAAAACACAGACTATAATTTGAACAGGATTTTTGTACATATGGTAAGGTCAACCATGTCATGCACCAATAACTTGTAATTGTAACAGTTAACTGAGAATGCCTGCTGTGAGGAGTTGTTGAAAGTCACATTAAAATGCATTTATCCAATCCAGAAGTCAATCTCCAAAACACATTTTGTGATTAGAGCAGTCTAGTGTGATGCATCATCAATCACTGTCCTTCTTAGCCAAGTTTCTAAAATGAGCTTCTCACCTCATCTCTACCTTCTTCTAATATATTCATAGCACCATCACTCCTTCCTCTCACCTTCACCTCCCTCTCCACCGTCTCCCTTATCTTTAACTCACTTATTCTTGCTGCCAGGTTTGTCCCCAAGTCTCTCCCTATTGTTCTCCTTCACTCCTTATTTTCCATTTACTGATTTTCCCGTTTAGAGTTGTGATTTACTTTCTTATCTTCTTTATATGTTGTGTCCAGGTTTGTGACGATCTACCACGGCCCCAGCCACACCTACAAGATGCAGCGGTTGACTGAGTCCAGCAGCCACAGCTTCAGAATACAGGCCAGCAGTGATGCAGGGGATGGTCCTTTCTCCGACACACACACCTTCTGCACCACCAAGTCCGTGCCTCCTGCCCTCAAAGGTAAACTCACCCAGGAAGCTGTTACACAACTTAAATAAATACAGTTTAAGTGAGGCATAAGATATATTAAGCTTAACCGCTTACCTTTTGTAAAATGTTGTGTTATTTCGTTTGGCTTGTAAAGGAAAAATATATGTTTGTAGTCATGCATTTGAGAATAAGAGGTAAATATTTGATTATGCTTACCTATCTTGTGTTTTTTGGACATTTAACCTTACTTTATTAGCATAGCATTTAGGCATTTAGGCATTTGAAGCATTGTTGTGTTCATTCTGTAAAATGCAATTCAACATCTTGAGGACGACTGTGTCAACCATATTAGCCGCGTTCACACCAAGTACTTTGCCGTATTTAGTGCCGGCACTCAGAGCCCCGGCACTTATGACCCCAGGGCATTTAGTACAGATCGCGTTCACACCGGAGTACTTTTCCCTGAGGGAAGATTACGCAAATGAGCCGCTGACGTCACTTCTTCTTCTTCTGCTTTGGGTTTACTGGCAGGCAGCAAACAACTTCACGGCGTATACTGCCACCCGGAGTCCCCGGCCGGAAGTCCCCGGAGTTGAGGACTGGCTTCAGTAGAAGCTGCTGGGACTCCCAGCAGCTTCTACTGAAGCCTTCCGAGTAAATCGCCAGAACGCCGACACCTCCTCATCTCCACCGCTCCCATGTTTTATTTTGTGTTGCCATAAATTAGTCTCTCTGCGTTTGTGCGCTGGGCGAATGCTAATGCTAATAATGCTAATGCGAGGATAATAAAATGGCGGCTCTACAAAACATTTCAGAGTTGTACGGGGCGTGGTTTGCAATTCGCCCAGCCAATCAGAACTGGGGCACTTTTTTCCCCCAGGAAAGTACGATCTCAGCAGGCACTAAAAATGGGGGTAAAAGTTCCCGAGATTAAGTGCTCTTTTTGGTGTGAACGCGACATAAGGGGTACTAACGGAACTAAACGCGAAAAGTACGGTGAAAAGTACTCTGGTGTGAACGCGGCTATTATATCTGTACCATTTTATACTCTATTAAGGGTCAAATATGAGAAATGAGTTGGAGTAAATATTTGGTTACATCCAATCTATATGTCAGAGTAACCCATTTTTATTTAGTGATATTTAAATCTCCACTTGTGTAATATCTAGGCTGAGTTTGAACTTAAATGGTTGTTGCAACCTGCTCTGCCAGTTTAAGAGCAACACTGATGGCCCCAAAGAGGCGATAAGCTTCCCGAACAGGAAACGGAAATACATTTGTTTCTGTTTTTCTCATAGAGATGACATGTTTATTATTGTATGCTTGATTATCGCCTCCAGTCTGCAGTCTTTCCTGTAAACCGAGAAGCAGTGGCTTATTATACTTGCAATAATCACAGTAAAGAGTGTCCTCTTGGGTGATTTACCCGGAAAGTATTATGGGTATGTCTGTGAGGCTGTGAATGTGCAGCACAGCATTGATATATCCATAAACAGACACACAACAGCCTCAGGAGTCCAAGCAGCTTCCATCAAACTATTAGCAGTGCATGTGCTGTCTGATGGGGTTTCTTTCCTTCAGGATGAGTTTAGACAGTTCAATTAATAGGTCCCTCTAGAGTTTAGTAAGTGTATGCTGTATTAAGCAGAGCAGTCACAATTGGATTACTGTTATGTTGTCATCATCTAAGAAAAGTATTGCTTTGCAAAACTGTTGGCAACACAGAGAACAAATGATACATTATTCAGTTTTTCAGTGTTGAAGCTTTAGATTTTAAGAGCGATATGGATGCTTGTGAATGTTTTATTGGTATTTTTTTTAAATAAGTAGTATGTATGACATTAATGGAATTGGCGGTCGTAGGATTGATATCATGTTTGTATGTCATTTATTCCAACAGCTCCCAGAATGCACCAGCTGGAGGGGAACACGTGTGAGATCACATGGGAGACCATCCAACCAATGAGAGGAGATCCTGTGAGCTACGTGCTACAGGTGCTGGTGGGACGCGAGTCAGAATACAAACAGGTTGGTCTCACACACACACACACACTCGGATCGTTTCAGGATAGAGTGAGAGCTCATGTGTCTCTAGGGGCTAAGATAATTTGGCTCTTTCTTAAAGTGTGCACGACTTTTTGGAAGACATTTTCTTATCTCCCTGAGGAGCAGAACAATTCAGTTTGTATTTATGAGGAAGGCATTAAAGAGCACTCAATTGCCCACACCCCTAGACCCAAATTTGCACATTGAAGAATGAGAAACACACACACACACACACACACACACACACACACACACACACACACACACACACACACACACACACACACACACACACACACGCTGCCTGTGCACTATGTCTTCTCCACTGAGAGATAGAATATTCTGGAATTGAATGTAATCTGCAGTGCCAGCGGGATTTCTGATTGGTATTGAAAGATGTATAATGGGAATGACAACACACACATATTTTGACTGCACTTGTAAATACTGGACTGGGCAGTTGAGCGACGTGCAGATTAGTAGATTGCAGACAAAGAGACATTGATCTTCAGGGACGTTTTACTCTCCGTTATTCAATTACTGAACGGTTAGAGGGAACAACTGCTGATACTCACCAGCAGACAAAACCGCAGCTGTGTGTGCATGAGAGGATGCGGGATGTGTATTTTGTCATTTCATTACGTTTACCCTCACCAGCTGCCAATGCAAATCTGTGAAGCTGCTTTTCAGACCTTTATATTCTTCCCTCTCCCTCTGTTTGTTCCTTTTGTGTAAACACACAATGAGGAGAACATCGACTGAGTGCATGCACGACTGTTTGATTTGCAAATTTCATTCATAAATACCAGAAGGAAGGAAATTCTGAAGGCTTCAACAGACAAACACTTACAGTCCACCTGTTGCCTGGAAAATGGTGTTAAATGCTCTCATATGCAGGAAAACCTCAATTTTGTTTATATAACCCAATATTACAAGTCTCAAATTCGCCTAAAGTGGCTTTATCTGTTATCTGATACATTTTTCGTGACATCTAGTTTTTGAGGTTTCAGGTTTAGGTTATTCAGTTACACAATGAGCAAGATTCTTTGCTTTTCTCATACTGAATGACCTATTTCCAGCTTCGAGCATTTCTCTGTTAACCTTAAGATTTAAGGTGGTGCTAATGCATGTGTCTTGGAGAAAAAAAGGAACATAACTCCTCAAATGTCATATGAAGTAATAATAATAATAATAATTATAATAATAGATGTATTTTGTTAGCGCTTTTACAGGTGCTCAACGACGCTTTACAGATATAGTGAAAAGAGGGACACAATCAGCAAGGAATTGTTAGATAAAGACTGAATAGACACTCATGTTATAGATCTTGATGTCCTGCCAGATGTGCACACCCTTTTGTAAATTGCCTCATGCTGAGAGCTTCACCGTGCCAACAATATAAAAACAAGCAATCATAGTTCACTGTGACCTCAGCTACTTTGCAGGTCTCTATTCTAACAAAACACCAACCCACTCATTTAGCTCATGACAAAAAAAACATCCGGCAGTGAGTGTTGTTGACTAAAACGTTATCGATTGCACAGTAAAAATTGTACGTGCTCCTGATTGAGATTATACATGCTTTTGCACACAGCTTCATTATCTCGTTTCACTCCCTTCACAGGTTTTTAAGGGAGAGGAGGGCGTGTTCCAGATCTCTGGTCTCCAGGGCAACACAGACTATCGTTTCCGTGTGGGCGCCTGCCGCCGTTGCCAGGATACGTGCCAGGAACTGTGCGGACCCCTGAGCCCCTCCTCCTTGTTCACGCTGCGTCGCCAGGAGACGGCGACTTCGGGAGAGCTGTGCCCCGTGGAAACGGGCAAAGGCGTGGGCCTGATCTCCAGCGACGAGCGCTTCGCGGCGCTCATCGTGTGCGTGTTCGCTGGCTTCTCCATCCTCATCGCCTGCTTGCTACAGTACTTCTTCATGAAGTGAGGGAATTTTAACTATAGGATAGAAAGAGAACTTAAAATCACAGAGAAACTCTAAACAAAAGAAGCGAATGAAATCAAAAGAAACACTTGATTTCTACTTCTAAGGCTATGTATGGTCTTTTTTTAGTCAAATTATCAATTCTGGCTTTCCTCACCTTGTTCCTGTTGTCTTCAGCCTTCACTGAGTTTCTCATTTCTCTCTACGTCTCTGGTGTCTGTCTCATTTGTTTCTGTCGAGGGAAGCCTTGTGTTAGCTGTACCTCGGATGGGAAAGAAAACTGATAATCAAGCCTTAAAATAGCTGTGAGCGAAGCAGTTGCTTCTCAGACTGACTTGCATGTTTTTTATTTTGTATCTTTTTAAAACATATTTGATTAGAGAACGTGTATATTTCATGACGGTCATTGCCTTACTTTTTGTTTTTCAATGTGTAATTTGCTTCTTTTTTTTTGCTGCAGTCTTTTTTCATTTCAGCCATATTCCAATGTAGGCCTACAAAGCTTTAGCCGTTCATACCTTATTATTCAGTTACTGCGGACTGTCAGTCAATACATGCAATTCATATCTGCTCAGCTTTTAACATTCAATCATTCACTCATCCAGCTACCAAAGTGATGCAAAAAGTGTGGTGTAAGATGCTGCTATCCTGTGATTTTATTATATCTAAGAAAGAATGGAAAACCAGTAATCTAATATATATACACACAATATATAAATATATATTATAACAAATATCTATGATGCTATAAAAGTGATGTAATATAAGTGATGGCAATGTAAGGTCTGAAGGACAGTGTGAAAGGGGAGGATTCGACCCTAGGTGCTCACAAACAGCTGCTCTGAGGTCAGTTCAGCGGCTGGAAGGAGCCCTTAAATGCAGGTCTCGGATCAGAAAATGCACCCTTGTAGGTATTCGATTGCTGGGCACAAACTGGCTCTAGCGTTAAGGAAGCCGGGCTGGGATTGTGATTGGCTAACTCAACAGGAAATGAGCTGATCTCAGTCCTTCCTTATTCTACCATCTCAACTACCAGAGCTCCAGCCTTTAAATCTGTAGCTAATGAGCCCGTCGGACCCAAAGGTGCCAACAGCCTGCCAGTTAGCTGCGCTTCTCAGAGCTCTGTGTGTTAACCAGGAGAGCCGTTAGGAGTTAGCTTGAGCTTTACCCCCCCCCCCACCCTGAAATGTCTAGCCAGAGCAGTGCTGAAGCTGTAGTTTCTCCTTCCAGCTAGCCTGTGAATCAATAAGTTTGAAGACTCTTCCACCTCTTTTATCCTCTCCTGCCCATAATTATATGTAATTACTTTTTTTGCTCTGGCTGCTCTTTTTCTCTAGCCTTCGATCCATCCTTTTCTTTCTGCCGTCTCTCCTTCTTTCTGTTCTCCCTCCCCCTCCCTCTGTTCTTTCTCTATATAACGGTGCTTTATTGACATGTAATCAGAGCAGTAGCAAGTCTGCGGCCTCTCCTCAGACGGACATGTTCTCTGGGGATTTGAACTAATGTTCACTAACCAAACAAGCCTTTGACAGAACACAACTCAACAGAGCAGGGCCTTCTGACACACACACGACACACCCCTGACCTCCCGCCTGACACCCTTTATCCCATCCCGAAAAACAAAGCCAAGGTACAGCCCAATACATACCGTGATGATCCAAAGAAGTCACCCTGACCTGCGTGATTAATGTGTGACATGTCTAATTCTGTCAGGTGGGGTGCAGGGAAGAAGGAGGGGGTTATGAAACAGTGGGAGGGTTGCGGCCAGCTCTGATTGGCAGCCTGTAACGTACCTCAGGGATAAGGCCCTTACAGAGGGGAGATCTAATCCTGTCACCCCCATCGCTGTCATCATCGTCATCATTTTTAGCTTCTCGTCCTCCGTTTTCTCTCCGCCTCCCGCTTTTATCTCCTTCTGTCATTTTTATTTGATGCTGTATCTTGTTCTCTGTCAATGCTGTGCCTTGCTCCTGTATGTGTCAGTAAGCAGTGGTTTACTAGCTCAAAAATACCTTTGCCAAAGTTGATGGGAAAGTTAAGGTAGAGTTCTTTTCTAGGTTTTATTTATACTATATATTTGCATACAGTACTTTACATGCCAATTACAGTGCAATCTTCAGTTATTTATTGTTTAAAGATTAAGAGACAAGTAGTTATATACTAATTTTTTCCTTGTAGCATGTTTTTTTTAATGGATGTATGTTAGATCGTATGATTAAGGCCAGCATTCCTTATCTCAGTAACCCTTTAAGTATTTCTCTTACAGCTGTTGGGAACCTGTAGCTCATCAGTCCATGCATTGCAGTTATCATTGCCGTTTCAAACATGTAACCAAATGCCTTTGTAATTTCTTTTCTTTTCATCTCCTGTTTTGGCCGTGCACAGCCGAGCAGTTCTTGTATTGCTTAGAGAGACATGTAGCAAAGCAAGGCCTTAGGGTCAGTTCGAGTCATCTGTATTGGGATAAACGTCGCTGCCTTTGGCTTTTTCTTTTCCTGATTAGTGTTATAATGAAGCTTCTGATATCTTTTTTACTGTTTTATTGCCAAAGTGCAGGTTTCTCGTGTCCACTAGATGTTGCGTTTGCAGTCGTCTAAAGGGTTCTGTGATGTTCCTCTGTGACGACACAGCATTACGATTATTATTATTGTTATTATTATTCTCTCAAAAGGAAAAAAAAACGTTAACTTGATCTGTGATTATGCTTCTTTTCATATTATCTTTTATTATTTTGTTTTGTAAAGCAAAATGTGCCATTATGAAATGTGTAGCCCCTTTCGAATGACAGTTTTTAACAACCTGATTTCACACTGAAAGGTAAAAAAAAATAAAAAAAAGCAAAAACAATCATTTGATGATTTCAGGCAGATGATGACAATAATAATATTGACGATTCCTTGTTCAGGCTAGTGCTGGTATAGCAGTAGTTAGTATTTTGTATCCAGTATTTTGCTAAGAGATGATATACAGAGGTATCTATAGAGCTATAGAATGAAATGGTAATACATTATGACTAACAGAGTTTAAGCACTTTTTTATGCCGAGCATTAGTCTTGATGAGGTTAATAAGAGCGAGAGGAGACACAAATTCTCTGTACCAAACACTACTGCCAACGCCGTCTGTTACATTCATTTGGCATTATTCTGTCGTTGGCGTCACTGTGACATTGGCATTACTGGAGCATGGTTCTGTGCTTCTCAAAATGGCGCCTCGCTACCTGCAGAATGCAAACTACGGTTCCTTTCTCAGACGTGCTAATGGCGTGTCTACCTAGCCTGTTGCATTGTAGTCGACAGGTGATATGTGAGCTCTCCTGTCTTTAAACCCCTGATGTTATGTTGCCCACCCACAGCCCCTGTATTCCCCATTTTACAAGCCTTAATGCCCCGGTGGGAGAGCAGAGGTGATTGGCCGAGCTCAGGCCAGTCATGTTAGTGTTGTATAGTCCGAGGTTAACGCACTGTTAACTGAAAGGCTGTGTGTTTGTGGGCAGGGTACTCCCTTTATGTGCTTTGTTGTTTTGTTCTGTTATTTTTAAATGCTGGTGATTTTATAGATAAACCCCCCCCCCCCCCCATCCTGCATGTCCTGCACATTTTGCAGGTGTGTCAAGAACGAGAGACAATTTTTTCGCCCAACAACCCCCACGTCTGTGCCTTCTGATCAGTTTATTTTTTCATTTTTATTTTTTTTAGGTTTTGTACGTTTTACAGTAAGTAGAGAATTTTGACTGAGAATTTGGCGATTTGAGAAACGTACAGAGACTCACAGGTATTTAACTATTTTTTAAGCGAGACAAAAAAACAGAAACATATTTTTACCTCACGATTTAAAAAAAAACAAACATTCCAATGTTGTCATGGTCTACGAATTGAGAAAAAAAAAGAAATTCATGCATTTCTTCTTGTATTGTAAATGTTAGACAATTTCATATGCATTATATAAAAGAAACTGCCATATCAATTTTAATGTATAGATTTTTGCAAATACTACCCTATGTATGTAAGACGTAACTGTATCGGTAGCGTATATATAATATATTTATGCCCAATAAATGTTTTGATTTTTTTCTGACTTTGATTGCACCTGTTTGCTTTATTGTGTGTGTCGTTATTCATCCGCACTTTACCTACATATACACTGATCTACATGTGAATTTTTTTTGCATGATTACATTTTATACAGATAGCTTAAAGTGGACCTATCATGCTATATTTGAATAATATAGTGTAGGACCATACCTATATAAGGCATATTTATACATCATGCATTTTAGCCATGCCTCATTTTGCTCAATTTGACATTTTTTAGCTCTGTTTTTGCAAGGGCTGATTCTGTGAGAACAGCACCATCTACAGGCCTGGCATATGTACTACAGCGTCTCTAGCGCTTTCGAACGGCAATGGCCGTGGATGTCTCCTCCTGATTGGTGGAGTTGGCCCAATAGCCGTAGCTCCATCTGTCCTGACGTCAGGACAGTGTTCAAATCTGGATCAGTTTTTATCAGATCCGTTGCAGCCCCTTTTTTAGAGATTTGGGTATGGAGGAAAATAGAGAGGGTTGTGTTTTCTGACACTTGGTGAGTTCCCTGGAACACCGGGGACACATATTCATGTATAAAAGACGTACAAAAGTGCATTTTGCATGATAGGTCCCCTTTAAAGGTAGGGTAGATAAGTTTGAGAAACCGGCTCGAGATCGCTAGAATTTGAAAATACACAACCGGAGAAAATCTGCCACTTCCTTACAGAGCCCCTCCTCCAACACACACGAACGCGCACATGACCAATGAGGGCACGAGATAAGTTTGTGCACAGATGGAAGGCTGACAGGCAGGTAGGCCATCCAGTTATTTTAGCCGGCTAAAATGATTGGTCGTACTTTTTACAGTATTACGGCTTCCACAGATGACATTTTTTTATGGATTTTTTGTCAAAGCACTTAAGATATTCATTGCTATCGGGATGTTAAGAGCATTCCATGGAATATAACAAAAAGTGTATCTCGAGCCGGTTTCTCAAACTTACCTACCCTACCTTTAATGGACAGATATTTGGTGTACAAACTATCAGTATACCCAATTTGAATGCAAAAACTATTTCACTGACATTTACCATTGTGAACTATTGATTTTTGTCTTCACGGTTCAATAAGAGAAGGATGATCCTGCTCTGATTAAATATGCAATGTGCTGTTGTAAACACATCTGAGGGGCAATCAATATGTATAATGTTGAGGTTTAAAGGAGGATTTACAGTCTGCATTTTGTCTCATAACAGTTATAATTATTTCAGGTGACAACATTTAAAATAATGACAAATGAATGAAACTAAAGACACTTGTATCTTTTGTCACACCGTAGGGAGCTAGAGTTAACGCCTGAGTGTCCATTACACTTGACCTATCAGTGTGAAGGTGTGACTGGTAGATTTACTCTTTAGTGGTTTCAATAGTGTAGCCGTGGAGAGTAAATCACACTCCCTTTCATCCCCTGCGGAGAGAGACTGCTGCTCTACACGCTCAATCCCCCCTTTGCCCTGCAGCAGGACAACAGGGGAATAATAGCCTTTCGACGTTTTGTGTGAGCGATTTGTTGCGCACAATAACAGGGTTATTTAAAGTTGTGTACAAATTGAATAATAAAATAGGAGGCAACAACACTCCACTATCTATCACACAGATATCTTTACTTGACATTAAAAACCCTTAGATTGTGCACTATAAGCAATCAACTACTAGATAACTCAAAGTGGAAGGATACAGCATCATTTTCATTTCATTGTTTATTTGAACCGGGACAGTGCACATTAATGAACATTTTAAACAAAATAATGTTTTTAAATGTAAATGAGCCGGATTTTAGCTTTGAGCTATAGTTTCCATCCGTAGTCCCGTCACATACAACATTTATGAACATAACATTTATATACATGGCAAACAGAAATACATGATATGCAGAAAGAGCATGAGCAGCATACAAGCCAAGTGGTAGTGTGTAAATCACAGGTCAAGAAGCACCATGTAGGTGGGTTACATTGGCATTATCTGTCAGATGCAAACATTGTTGGCATCTATGAAGCAGTCAAGTTCTTATGTTTACTAACTACAGTATAGCAGCCCATTATCTAAAATCAGCTACTCTCTTTGGGAGAAAAACCCAAAGGAGAAGAAATGTAATGCTTTTCTTCAGCGGTGTAATCTACAGTTGGGGCACAAGGTAATAGCTTGATGGACAACATAGATTGCACAACTTGTTACCAAATAAGTTAAAGCAAGAACAAGGCTGTGGAAGACAAAGAAGACGAGGCAATCTGATGATAAAACCTAAATAACTGATGGAAGAAAGCAGTGTTCTGGCTTTTTCTGTTGCTGAAAAGCAATCCCCATGAATCTGCATCAAGTTTTAAGAACCCTGCTTTGTTTTATCATAATGTACATTTTACCAGTGAAGATTCATCAGAACATTGCTGTGTATAAATCCCTTAATCGTTGTTCCCCCCTTTGATTAGTCTATTTATCCATATCCAGATTATCCACTACCTTTTCTTCAGAATATCTCAGCAACTTTAGGACCCTCAGCAAAGTTGACAATGAAGCTGTACTTTAGTGTTTCAAAGATTCAAGATTCAATAGGTTTAATGTCATGAATGAAAAACTTGGGTCACAGGTTCCTAATAATAATAATAATAATAATGCCTTTTATTTATAGAGCGCTTTTCTTGAAACTCAAAGACACTTTACAATGTAAAAATTCATAATAACATAGTTTAAAACATTTAAAGAATACAGATTAAAAGCAGTTCTGGAAAGGTGAGTTTTGATTTGTAAATTGCAATTACAAGACAACAACAAAAAAGTGCAATACAACCATACAAATAGTGCAAGCCCAGGCATTCGTCTTGTGGCCTGTGGGATAAAACTGAGTCTGGTGGTATGGGCATTTTTATATTTTGTTGTATTTGATTAACCTGTTATCTTCTGATATAAGTGTTTATACAACTGAAATATTTAGTAGGTTGACTTATGGCAGCGTTTCTCAAAGTGTGGGGCACACCCTACTGGTAGGGCGCAGAGATGTGATAGGTGGGTCGCGAATGGACGCGATGAACGGGAGATTATTATTATTATTATTTATTTTTTTAAATACATTTTTTGGACCTCAGGCCGGAATCGAACCTGGGTCCTCGCGGGCGGTAGTGGACTTTTACAGCCGGAGACTCGCAACGGCCCGTGGGCCCACCTATGCCACCGAAGGCAGCAGCCCACCAACGGCAAAGGTTAAAGGCAAGCATATAATAATGTTAAAATGTGCTAAATATATACACTACAAAAAACAAAAAAAAGAGGAGTAAAAGTAGCTCACGAGTTGTTTGATTTTTGGAAAGTAGCTCTCATCCTAAAAAAGGTTGGAGACCCCTGTTATAGAACGATACATTTGACAATTTTAAGCTTGGCCTACCATTTTATTGGAGCGATGAGGAACAGGTGGGGCTTGAAAAGGCCCACCTGTTCAAAGTGGGGAATGAATGACAGAAAAAGTTTGAGAACCACTGACTTATGTTTAAAGCTCACACAGGCGCTCAGGGCAGCTCAGGGGTCCTACAGACGCGGCAGACAGAACTCATTAATTAGACCGAGCCCACAGTATGCGGCTACGTTGCAGAGCTGTGTATTGTATTTCCAGCCAGGTGAGCAAAATTGGTGACACAAATGTATAATGACCATTGAAGAGGAACTGACTATGTAGATATTTCTGATTTTGTATCGTAGTTGTACCAGTTAAATACAGAGGATGTCGTGTGGTGCTTCTTCACCTGTTCGTTAACATGGACATCAAAAGTGTAGCTAGCCCACTTGTAGCTTGCTAAAATATTTCTTTTTTTGTGCCCAATACTTGGGTTTATGACTTATGAAACTAAATATTCCCAGCAGCTCCAGCACTAGGCACTTTGATGTTTAATGCTAACTATCATAAGTTAACTCAAAAGACACCAAACTGAGTCATGGAACATAATAAATGGCTACTAACTATTAGCAGTTTAACTTTGTCTTTGTCAGAAGAATAGCTTGTCATGGTGTAAATGCACACCAGCTACCAGTTAGCAACAGCTAGTCATAACTGGTACCAGCTGTAAAGTGGTCCTGCATGAACAAGCACACATCTGTATAGATTAACATGGATTTTAACTCCTCTTCAAACCCAACCCCCCACTCTTTGTCATGTATACTTGAAATTCACTCTCACCTGCTCAGCCCACTTCTAAATAAACTATCATTATGTCTGACTCGTTAATTTCGCCTCTCTTCTTTCACCTTTTTGTTTTTTATTGTCAGTTTTCATTGCACAATTCTTCTGAAAAGAGCCCCCTCATCCATGTTCTTTCACATCTTCCTCTTCACACCTGTCATCCACCCACTAATTATCTTGAATAAGTTGCTTTTATTTAATTATTTCGTCATCTTCACGACTGGTGGATGTTATTAATTGGCCAACTGGTTGACACTCACACTTTTTATTTTTGTCTCTTTCCCACAGACTTTCAGAACCTCTGCTGAACAGCTTCGCCTCACAAGGTTTTGCAGACACACGTGGTGTATGGATCATGAGGGGGACAAAGTGTTAGAGCCCTGTGTGTCCATCCTTATGTGATGGAGTGGTGCTGTGCGTTGTGGCCGCAAAAATACAACGCCAGCATAGATGAGAGAGAAGTCGTTGCTGTGTCTCTGTGTTAAGATTGCAATATTCTGAATGCTTTTACACCCCACTGAGACTTGTATAATTTAATTGGATATGCTGTAGCAAGATCACACAGGGAAAAGATGACTGGCCCTGTTAAAGAGCAGCATGTGTCTTTCAGTCCACTCTAATGGCGCATTTCTACTGCAGCGCGTAACACGGTTTAAGCGTGCCGTGCCAAACCCGGACCGTTTTTTGTTGCGTTTCCACTAGGGGTAGTTCCGGCTAACGGGTACTTTTTCACAGTTTTTCTGGCCCTCCAAAATCGTGGTTCATTCCGGGCCAACAACCGGGCTGAATATGCTAAACTAGTGACTTGAGTGGCTACAACTACAACACAATGAACATATTTGACCGTGATTTAATTGTAATACACGTTTCAAAATGATGCCGAAGTAACAACATACTGATACCGGTTAGTAAAAACCATGAATTAATGCTTTGACAAGTCTGCAGACAGACGACAGGCGAAGAACCTTTTAAAATGCGTGTTTTAATGGAGATCGGCTAAGCTAACGTTGTATATGCTCCGACCGTCCACACTCACAACAACGGTTGTACTTGTGGTTTGTACTTGTTTAACTTTTGTCTAGTTTCTGAACAGATATGAGGAGCTGTGAGCTCTGAGTGCTAACAGCTAACGGCTGATGTTGGTTTTCTGTGGTTCGCATTAAAGATGACGTCACGGCTCCGCCTACACTGCATTACTATAGTTACTGCCCCAGCTACTAAACTGTAATGGAAACGCAGCATAAAGTGAGCCTGGCCTACCAAGGCCTAACTATAACTACAGTGGAAATGCGCCATAAGTGCGGTGGTCTTAACTTCAATTATGTGACGTGTGTGTTGAAGGTTTATGTGAAGTGGTTTGCTAGTTTCACAATATTCTCAGCTTGCATTTTGCATCTCATACCTGCTGGAGACTAAACGCTACTTGATTGTCTAGTGCAGGGGTTTTCAACCTGCGGCTCTTTAAGCCCTCTACTCTGACTCCCTTGAGCTTAGACAAAAATAAGAAGGAAGTAAAATACAAATATGTGTAGGACTATTTATATTTTGTTGCATGGTTGAAAATGTTTCGTATCTTGTATTTTGAGGTGATACTGTGACACATAAATAAAAAATAAAAACGGTTTTAATTAGGTCAACTAAAATATGCGTCACATCCTGCTACGGTCCCGCGCCAGCGCCTTTTCTTGCAGGTGACTAACCGGACCCCCGGCTCGATGAGCGACCTATGGATACATCAAAGAAAAGAAAAGTATCGGAGGGATACACACAGAGGGTTTAATTCTGCGTGGACAGAGTTATGCTTTCACAGCAAACGATGCTGGCTTACCGGTATGTTTGATATGTAGAGAGAAGTTGTCAAAGGTGCTGCAGCCTTTACGTGTTGGAGGAAAAACACAGAAGAGGAAGACAGCTAACGATGTTCAGTCATAATTCAATCACAACTATTTTTAGGGTGCAGCTATAGGTTTTATCTACTTTAAAGGGGACCTATCATGCAAAATGCACTTTTGTACGTCTTTTATACATGAATATGTGTCCCCGGTGTTCCAGGGAACTCACCAAGTGTCAGAAAACACAACCCTCTCTATTTTCCTCCATACCCAAATCTCTAAAAAAGGGGCTGCAACGGATCTGATAAAAACTGATCCAGATTTGAACACTGTCCTGACGTCAGGACAGTGGCGCTACGGCTATTGGGCCAACTCCACCAATCAGGAGGAGACAGCCACGGCCATTGCCGTTTGAAAGCGCTAGAGACGCTGTAGTACATATGCCAGGCCAGTAGATGGTGCTGTTCTCACAGAATCAGCCCAGAGCTAAAAAATGTCAAATTGAGCGAAATGAGGCATAGCTAAAATGCATGATCTGTTTGGTATTTTGAAAAAAAAAAAGTATAAATATGCCTTATATAGGTATGGTCCTACACTATATTATTCAAATATAGCATGATAGGTCCACTTTAAAGCAGGCCTGTGTATTTGTTTTAATTCTCCTTATACGAGTTCTTTGTTTATTATTAGAGGTAAATAGTTTTCTATAATGTAATAAATAATACATGCAAACAAACTGTAGTTTTTGTCTATAATATAACAATATATACAACGTTATAGGCTATCAAGCTATCAAATATGTTTTGCGGCTCCAGACAAAAAAATTGGTGGAAAAGGGGGCAAAATGGCTATTTTGGTCAAAAAGGTTGCAGACCCCTGGTCTAGTGTATGCTAGCATGAAGAACACAACTTAAAAAGAAAATCAGAGTAATTGTGTTTTTACTTTTACAAGACCTTATCATTGACAGATACAGGCAGGAGATATTCCCAGATGAATACAAAAAAAGTAAGATACAAGTGGATTTTTACTCTTTTAATGAAACATTAAGATTAATAAATAGTATGTCATGACATCAGTATGTACACTCATTTATGAACAGATACATTCTTGAGAGAAAGGAGGCCATGTTTTGAAACCCAGTGCAGATTGGTGGAGGCTGCTGCGGTGATCTGCTGAAACCATCTGAGCATTGAGTGTATAACATCACAGAGCATCTATTTACAAGCACATCATCACTTATAGACTTTACAAAATTAGATCACTCACATTTCCATCAGTTGAATACATTGAAATACATTTTTTTTACAAAAATCAATTTTCAAAACCTCCTTGTAGATGGTATAGGTTTTCACATTTGGCCCATTAGCATCTTTCTATTACAGTTCACACACCATCATGCAAGTCACCCATCAAAACGTTCCACTGAGCACCCATGCAATTCTTAATTTGAAACATTTGGTGAATCGATAAACAAGACAAGACAATATAGATTTAAACATTAAAGATGTCACTGTATGTGTACACTGAACAGTTTTGGGGAACAATTCATGCCAAATGTAAATATAGGCATTGATGGTAAAAAAATCAACTTAACTTCAGATGATTTCGATCATTTACCAAAGATGAACATTGCAAACATCAAATACAAAAACACATTTCTAAACAAGTGACTGAATGAACAATTTGCTTCGTGTGTTTTATGATTGGATGCACAGATTAGCACATCGTCCTCGCAGAGCAGAAAAAGTAATGTAAGTTGTACGCAGGTTACTGATATCAGCACACCTGGTGGTGAATTGAAAAGCGGGTCAATGGTCACAAGTCTTAGAAAGCTGAGCAGACAACAATAATCACCAATCACTTTCCTTTTGTCTTAGGAACCAAACTTCGGCCCTGTCCACACGGAGACGAAAACGAACCGAAGTCGTTTTCAAAAAAGTCTTCCGTCCACACGGAATCGGCTCAAGAAACGTGTCCGTCCACACGAAAACGCTCAAATACTGGAGACGCTGTAGTACATATGCCGGGCCTGTAAGTGGCGCTGTACTTCCGCCACAAAATACACCAAAAGCAGCTAATAAGAACCCCCGAGCATGGGCATAAGGCATAAACAAACATAAATGTCCACTTGTTGCTGATGGTTGTGGTAGAGAAGCTGTAAATGTTGCACTAACATCTGTATCATGGTCAGTAGCGTCTGGAGCACGAACGCAACCCTGTGATCCGCCATTGTTGTTGTTGTTGGCGAAACGCATCAGCAATGACGCGGGGGTGAGCGGGAGAGGCGGGGCTATGGCGTCATCGTTTCAGGGAATGATCGTATAGGGCGTACAAACGGAGCCGCAAGCGTTTCGTCCTCAGACCTACCCACTTTGGGAGCCGTTATCAAAGTGTATCGGATTCAGGCTCCGAATCCGCGTTTCCGTTTCGGCCTCGTGTGGACGAACCGTCTATACGACTGCGATAGAGAACGTTAGCGGATTCAACTGATATCGTCTCCGTGTGGACGGGGCCTTATACTTGTTAAACATTTTTTTACTTTATGATAACTGCTTAAACCCTGATGTAAATTGTCCTTTTTTCTGATGATTTCTCAAAATAGGCCAGAACCTGCAGCTTGAATGAGTATAATTACAAAATGTTGTGACGTAACAATGTCTTGAAAATGTTTGCATTGTGTATTATTATCTAACAACCCTAAAATCGACCTGCAGTGTGGCACCCATGAACCAGACTCCACTCTCGATTGGCCCTCTTTGGCAGCATCAACAAAGCATGGACTTGAATTTCCAAGATACAGGGCGTTCAGTATGTCAAAACATCCATAACAGTATTTTTACATATTCACACGCTCACATCACAGAAAAAACCCTTTCAAAACATGACACCTGGCATACAATACACACTTTGAAATACTTCTTTCTGTCTCTCTTATTCTCCTGCAAGCTCACACACACACGCACACACACGCACACACACATACACACACGCACACACTGCACTTCTGCCCCTCTGAAGGAGTACAGAGCAGTGCCACAAGTTCTACAGTGCTTTCCTTGTCATCCAGAGTATGAATACAATATAAGGCAATTGTAGACGTCTATTATATTTATTTATGTGAGTGTAGACGGGCATGAACGCACCTATGTTCACACTTGGATCAATCAAAGCACTTTTGGCTGGTGTGTATTTTGCACTCCACCAGTCGAGCTTATGAAATGCTGCTGAGTGTGTTGATGAATACTTCAGGGCACTTGCTGAAACGATCCAACAAACAGAAATCGAAATGATATTAATGCAGGTTGACAAAGTGAATGCAGCTTTTTGGTGATTACCACTTTTCTCATCTGTTTCTTTATGTCCCAGTCAAGCAATTGCCTCGCTCATGTACAGAGCAGTTTTTTTTTACAGGAATAATGGCTTTAAGTCAATGTTTTTAACGCATGACTGACAGTGTTTCTAATGATATCAAGGCGTTTAGAAGCTGACTGTGGATTCCGTCCAGCCGTTCAAGCCGTCTCCCTTCACGGTGCTGGTTGTTCGGCTTCGGGGCGGCTGGCTGTCTGTCAGGCCGAAGAGACGTGCCGCTGCGCACCGGTACTTCCAGGACATGGTGTTGTAGAGGATGGGGTTGATGGCGGCACTCAGGTAGAAGAGAACCACGGACACCAGGCTGCAGTACTCGGACACCACAGACAGCAGCGGGGACGGTGCGTCAAGGGAGCGAAACTGTAGGTAGCGACCCACATGGAACGGCAACCAGCAGAGGACAAAGGCAAGTACCACTACAACTGTGGGAGGGGGGGGGGGGGGGGGGGGGTGAGAAGTAAAGAGAGAGAGAGGGGTATAATTAATACAAGATTATGACTTTATCAACAGTTGCAACCGAGCTAAAATCTAGTTGTAAACTTTGCTTTTTCATCTTGTATACCAAGCTACACCTGTGCGTAATTTGCGCGCTCTCCGAACTTACCCAGCATCTTGATGGTCTGCCTGTTGCTTTTGTCCCGGTGTGCCACACGGGAGCTGATGGTTGTCTCTCTATGTCTCTGCCACAGCCGACGACCAATGAGGCTGTAGAGCACTGTGAGACAGAAGACCGGCATGAAGAAGAAAACAGAGCTCAGCCACACCATGGCCCCCATCAGACCTGACTCCACTGCGAAGTGCGTGATCTTACACTCCCTTGTGTCCCCGGGCTCCACGAAGTAGCCAGTCTCATTCATTTCAAGGCTAACATTTGGCGACATGCTGTCACGCTCCACTCCCACCATGACAAACACGGGCCCTGCGCTCATTACAGACACTGTCCAGAGAAGAAAAATGAGGGCACGAACCCGCCTCTTGGTAACCAGTGCCTTTGCGCGCAGTGGGAAGCAGATCGCCAGGTAGCGCTCCACTGACAGAGCAGTGATGCTCAGGATGGTGGAGTAAGTGCATGACTCCGAGACAAACTGAAAGAGCTTGCAGAGTGCGGCCCCAAAGCGCCAGGGCCTGTACCTCCACATACGGTAGAGGTCCAGTGGCATGCAGAGGAAGATGAGAAGGTCTGACAAGGCCATGCTACACAGGTACAGGTTGGTGGTGGTGCGCATATCCCGGTACTTACTGACCACCAACATTGTCATGACATTCCCTGTCACTCCGACCAGAAACAGGAGCGTGCAGGCGATGGTGATGCCCGTGAGCAGGGGAATAGAGTAATAATTGAGAGGAGGCAGCTCAGCGGTGCTTGTTGCGTTGATGATCTCCTCCCAGCAGCAGTTACGGGAGAGGAACTCCGAGAGATTGGGCCAAGAGGGCATGCTGTCAGCGCGGTTATTTACGGGGCCGTGCCTGGCCCTGACTGCTGCAGGCACCCCGGGTCTGGGACTCCTCACAACCCTTGGTGCTGCCCTTTAATCCCATCATCAACATTTGAGCTGCGGAAGTTAATGTCAAAGGTTGGCAGCCATGCGTAAAAATCAAGATCCTTGCGCACGTTGAAAAGAGGTTTGGCTCACAATACTTAGCGGACAAAGAACTTCAGAGATCATCCAGGGAGCAGATAGTCCTGTCCAGAGTCTGAAACAAACATGAGGCTATAGGTCGATATGAATGATCCACAACTACAATGTCTGGAGCAGAGAGGCAGGTGCAAAACTAATTGTAAAAGTGTGTAAGCTACACATCACCAACCACAATTCATGCGGAGGTGTATTGTAATCTAAACAGCTGCAGCCGTAAAACTTCAGCCCAAACATCTATTATCTAAAAAAGAAAAACAAGTTATCTCCTGTGTCCTTTCCTTCAGTGACCACAGCAGCTGAGCGCTTTAGGAAAAATGAAACATGAGAATCCTGTTTGCAGTCCCACAGAGTTCCCATCACCAGCAGCGTGTCCTTTTTTTGCGCGTCAGACAAAAACAAAACAGTGAATCTGTGGATGTCTTGCACCCGGCAGCATGTGACGGTGAGTCAGAGGCAGGTCCTCATGATGCGGCAGCAGCAGCTGTGAACATCTGTCCATGAAAAGGGCACCGGAGCTCAAACACAGACGGATAAACAACAACCACGGAGAAAACAAATACTGTATCACGGAGCGGAGAGAGTTTTGTAGTCACAATAACAAAGAATGAACGACGCCTTGTCAACATAATCATGCAAATAGAAGTTGAAATTATCAAAGTAGAGTTAAGTTTAAAAAGGCAAAGAAATTCCCCCTGGCTTTTCAAATCTGCTCCTCTATGTATACTGCTTATCCAGTGTGTGAGTCCAGATTTCTAGTGAGCAAAACATCCTACAGGTGAAGTGGTGCTGCCCAAGTGAGGGTGATGTGGAAGTCTGCATTGAGCCCAGTGCTGCAACGCCACCTGCAGGTACTTTAGGGCAGGGATGACAAGGGGTTAATGCTCACCAGCACCAGACAATCTGTTTAACACCTTCCTTCCAGAGAGCATCGGGAAACAGGAGACACTTTTCAGAAAACTCTCCCAAATGTGAGTCTTTTTATTAGCATGACATCCAATGACCACCTGGTCCAAAAGTGGGGCTTCACAGCTGATCCTTCAAGGTGGTGAGTGAAAAATACACTTTCCCCAAAGAGAGCAATTTAGTCATCGTCATAAAAATTATAAGATTCTATCTGGCTTTTGCTTCTAAAATTGATTTGTATATTATTATTATGTTTTCTTTTTAAAGAGCCCTTTGGGGTAAAGCTTAGAAAGTACAGGTTGTTTCTCAGTGGGATTTTATCTATGATGCTTTATATGTAAGAGCTGGACCCTTTTTTTCACCCCAATGAAAATCCAAAATAAATGTGCCCTTTGTGGTATGAGAACAGAAACCATGACGATATCAAATCCTGCCTGCTGTGCTGCTTTATTTGCAAAGAACATTGAATACAGTTTTATTCAGACAAACTGCTATATATTCACAGTATGGAGTTTAGTAATATTTCAGCCACAAACAGTTGCATAATATATGATAAGGTCACTAAGAGTTAGAAACTTACTAAACTACCACCAGAATATAAATATCACCCTCCAATATCTAGCAAGATAATTGGCTGATTTGCCAAAGGCAGCACACTAACAGAAATAGTACTTTTATAGGTTTGTCTAAAGGCTCTCTGCCAAACTTTATAACATAGGGTTTAAACTGGATGTTCATGTATTTTTATACTGATTAATAATCATTGTTGTGCTTGTAGAAAGTACATGAATATTGTCCCATTAAATTACTATATCTCTAACAAAAAGTTAACATCTTGTTTCTTGATTATGTTCTTAATCTTTGAGTAAATGTATTTAAATATGAGATATAAGGTTAATCTCATTAAATGTCAATTGTACTAGACAGGCAGCAGATACTGATACTTTAAAGTTACCCCTTACAAAATGTGACGTTTCTCCTCCATTTTGATTGAACTTTTTGGTATGGTATAAAACAACTAGATTATAAATATAAATAACAGGAACCAGGTAAAAGTGGGTCAATTATTCAGCCATGGCTATTTCTCCAAGTATCTTCAACCAGCTAGAAAGCAGTCATTGTATGGTTTGATAAGATGTCAAAAGGTCTGATTTAAGTCTTAAACTCAACTGGAAATGTAGTTGATTGATTGGCTTGGTTGGGTGTTGGCCATTATCATTGTTTGAAATCCTGCTATCGTAACAAAGTCGATAAAACTGTGGGTATAAGACTGTAAGATTCATAAACCTTGTTACTGTTATTAACCACTTGCTGGAGGCCTTACAAGTGAAGAAAACAAACCATTTCAATCTACAGGTAGGTGTTAATATCTTCTAAATTACAGTAATGCCATATATGTTTTACTAAAGTGATTTGATCCTCATTCATGCTTAAAATATTGTTATCTATTGCCCTTTGCGCTGTGTTTATGGGCAAATACCATTATGTTTATGACCTCTGAATCATGATGTGAGAGAGAGAGAGAGAGAGAGAGAGAGAGAGAGAGAGAGAGAGAGAGAGAGAGAGAGAGAGAGAGAGAGAAAAAGAAAGACAAACAAACAGATAAATAGAGAAAGAGAGAACCGGAGATCCTAATAGTGGAGAAAAAAAAACGACAAGCGGGACACTCGTCAGGACATTTTCCTTTTCCAAAGCCTCTGTGAGACCTTTTCATCACATCTGGTATGTATCTGGCTGGGGTCATACAACATGTAATGTGCCTCCTGACTGTAATGTGTGTGAGTGAGTGTGTATTTGGCATGTGTGTACTTGATCTTCAGGAGAAACATGAACCTTTGACACCTGTATTATGTAACTAACTATTGGCAAACCTAGTGTAGTGGGACAACAGTAGGAGTTTCGGCTGCCATTTAAAATAGGCACACATGTAGAGTTAATTTGTGACTCTTTTTGGATTGAAAGGAGCAGCTATGACAAATATAATCATTACACCCATACTGATGTAATAATTAGGCAATGAGGAACACTGATTAAGACGTCTGGATTTGACTTAATGAAGTGTAATTATGAACCAATAACCAAAACATTTCAATGATACTCTGCTCACAACAACAGGGGTAGTAATAATGAGGATAATAGTCAAACAAGCTCAAGTTAATGTATTACTTACATAGACGAAATTGCTAAATTGGACACTTTCTGGGACAACAGGAGGTAATAACAGCAACATTTTGTATTTCCACAGAAATGTCACAGATGTATTTATCAGGAGAGCTTTTTCTGCTTGCTCTTTTTATGGCTGTAAACTGTGTCTTGTGTGTTTGATGGTTTCATCCTTGATTTCTGTCTTTTTATCTCTCTTTATATCACTGCATTTTCTGTACTACCATTACATTTGGTATGGTGTCAGTCCTATTTCTCTGTGGTTCCTGTGTATGTGCTTCTGGAGTGTGTCTGGTAAAGTATTGGGAGTGTTTTTGGTGTCATGTTGTCTGAACTCTGCTTCCAGGGTGTGTTAGTATTGCCCAGGGTAAAGTCCCTTCCTGTCTGTCATAGGGAAGAACACACCATCTGGCAGCTGTAACTGTTTGGTCTTTGGGGGGTGCAGTACATCTCTTCCACCACAAGATGGAGGAAGAGATTTAATGTTCCTGCTTGAACCTGTGAATGTGCATGAGTGTTTGTGATTGGCTGCAAGACTAATGAATGGTGTTTTACTACAAGTGTGATATGAGTGTATATTTCATTTGATCAAAGCGCATTCAGCTGAAATATACATTAATATGGGTACACTCAGTCAACTACATCTACGTTTTGCCGTTATTGTTTGTTGTTATTGTAAAATTAAAATTAAATGTGTATATGGGCTTATAAAAATAAGGCCATATAATATGTGTTATTTTTTATTTTACAACCTTATCATAAAATAAGATAAGTGGTAAATTGTGTTATTGTTTGGTGTGCAGATCAACAATAAAAGGCTCATCATACATACATGCAGACATACAAATGGTTTGACTATGGAGGACAGAAATACATATACAAAAAACTAGATAAACAAACATGATAACATACAGGGAGAGTGAGAAAGTATCAGTGTGTGAAATTATGAGATAATAGGCAGGGGGGGGCAGTGTCATTATTTTCTACCCAGAGGTCTCCTCCTACTTCACAAAAACTCCAGAACTTGTTTACAACCAATGAGAGAAGCGTGTGGGAAGAACCCGCGTCTGTGATTGGTCTAGACTAGTTTCACAGAACCCTCCCTTCCTGAGGAGTTGGAGCGAGTTCAATGTTAGTTTTTCTCAGCCGCTCTGCCTGAGTTACAGAGGGGAAGGAGCTCAGGACTAGCTGTGTGTTCATCGGTATCTGCTCTTCTTCAGAAGTCTTAGTATTGACGTCCATTCAGAAAGAGGATTGACCAGACAAGGCACCATGTGGGCTGCATGTCCACAGAAAGAGCAGGTTGGTAATGTCTCCCTCTCTCAGTTTTTGTCTGACGGTTCTATTTTCGACCATGGGCTGTCGTTGATATGTGTCTCTGTGACACTGCTTGGGTCTGGTCTGTCAGTGGGATCATGGAGAATAATTGACAGTATGTGCAAGTGTGCCTTTATTCTTCCTGCGCATGTACGTTTGCATCAAGGTGATGAGGGCAGTCCTTCATCTTTATCTGCATAGCAAATATGTATACTGTTAATCCTAGTGTCTGGTTATGTTGGACAGATGTGTGTGGAGATGAGTTTCTTGGTCCTTCAGTCGAGGGTGTTAACTTTCTATTCAGGAATTCTGCAACAAGAAGTGTGTTACCTGATGTTTAAGCATGCACAGGTGTGTGTAGTCTTTCTCCAACCCCCCTCACCTCTCACACCCTTTTGTTGAAGTTAGTTGCTCCAGCTGGAATGTCATGGGAGGACTGGAGATATTTAGCTTTTCTTTCTACGCTGCCTCTCCTCCCAGACTCTCCCTTCTCCTCTCTCTTTTTCTGTTGTCTTTGCAACTGAATACACATGATACTGACCTCTGACATTCAGCAGTCTTCCTTTTGCACAGGCAGTAGCAGGAGCATGACCTAAATACGTTACCGTTGTGCAGCCAACACACACACACACACACACACACACACACACACACACACACACACACACACACACACACACACACTGTTGCTCTTACTGTTATTTCTCTCTCAGGTTTTAAGTGTGTGCACGTGACGTGTGTTTAACTCTATTGAGCCTTTCCATGGGATTTTACCTTGCTCAGATTGTGATATCAATCATTAATGTGGACAGTGGGAATTTTAGTCCTCAACCACCTATTGCTCTTTCAAGAAGTTTTGTAACACAAGTTTTATCTTATT